CTGGTCCTGTAGGGCTCATCTGCCCTGGATTCCCTGTATTTTCAGTTCCTATCTGTACCAGTGTACATCCTCTGGTCTAGCCAGACTTGCAAGGCTGAATAAGGTTTTAATGTTATGGAAAATTCTTTAATGGTATTAGTATTACTTTGGAGTGGAAGTAATGAAGTATCTAACATTATCTAGCTTTAGTGTATGCTATATGAAGCTGTGTTTAAGTTGTATATATTAAATGATTCATATATATATATATGAATGGACAAAACTATGATAAGTTAGAAATATAGTCACCTGTGTGGGTGGTATGGCATGAACTAGGAAGTTCCTAGAAGGAACTTTCTAGGGTGGGTGCTAGAAAAATTCTATGTGGTGATCTGAATTTGGTTACGAATTGATTCAATTTGGCCAAATTGAATCCAACTCATATGGATCCTATAAGACAGAGTAGAGCTGCCTATGAGAATTTCAACGGCAGTTAATCTTTATGGAAACAGACAAGATTTTACTCCTGTGGAGCAAGTGATGAGTTTGAACTATTGATCTTTTTACTAGTAGCTGAGGGCTGAACCATGGTGTGACCAGGCTCCTATAAGACTAAAACTCAACGATATCGAATCATAGCAACTCTTTAGGATAGGGTTGAACTACCCCTTCTACCCCTTTTGGTTTCCTAGATGGTAACTGTTTATGGCATTAGAAATCCTCATTTCTCTCATGCAGAGTAGCTGGTAGATTCAAACTGTTGATCTTGTACTTAGTAGCCCAATGCATAACCCACTACACCACCAGGGCTCCTCAAGGCTTCTATAAGAATGTGTAAATAGGGAGGGGAAATCAAGCAGTACACTAAATTGGCAAACTTCTCTTTTATTGATACATCAATAAAATCAACACTAGCAATAATATAAAAAGGCGTAAGAAATATTAAGAAAGCATGCGTTAGTTACTGGGTTACCTGTTGGGTTGATAACCACAAGGTGAGCAGCTTGAATCTGCTAGCTGCTCCAAGTGGGGGTGAGGGGATTAGGCTGTCTACTTTTGAAAAGATTTACAATCTAGGAAATCCTAAATAGAATTGCTATGAGTTAGAATTGATTTAGTGGCACTGGATTTGCTTTGAGGTTTTGAGTATTAATGAAAGCAAAGTTAATCTCAATGAACATTCTCTTATTAACATTGTTAATATTATTAATAATTATTAAAATGGATTAATTTTTAAAATTCTGGGACTTAATCTGACATGATTGACTTCTATAATAACCCAAATCAAACCCAATGCTGTCGAATTAATTCCGACTCATACCAACTCTGTAGGACAGAAACACACAGCACTTTTAAGGTTATAAATCTTTAGAGAAACTGATTATCACGACCTTCTTCCGCGGAGTGGCTAGAGGGTTCAAACCACTGACCTTTCAGTTAACACTGAGTTTTTTTAAGCACTGTGTCTGCAGGGGACCCTTCTTCCAAAATAGAATTAATAAAATGAAAAATCAGTACTATTAAAGAATATTAACTTTCAGTTACTTAGCCAAAAAGAAATCAGCTTAAAAGCATATAACAAATCTACTAATAAAAAAGCTGTATTATATCATGAATCCCATACAATTTCTCATTCGTTTTTAAGCTCCTTGAAGTACTAATTCATCGTTAATACTACCATTCCTTTCCAAAGGCTTAGCACCTAAGCCTAACTCATTGCTGTCTGGTTGATTCTAACTCAGAGTGACCTTGTCGGACAGAGTTGAGCAGCTTCATAGGATTTCCAAGGCTGCCGTCTATATGAAAACTGATTGCCACATTTTCCCACTGAAAGGTTGGCGAATTTAAACTGCAGATCTTTTGGTTAGCAGACAAGCATTTTAACCCTGTGCAACTGGTGCTCCTAGCTAGGAGCATTCAAATAAATACTTGCTGAATGAAACAGAATAGTTTCCATCAAACCACCTTAATTTACCATAGACTGAGATTCATCCATGTTGTTACATTTAGTAGTAGCTCATCACTTTTGTATTGCTGTATAGTGTTTCATTTATGATTACACCACATTTTGTGTACCTATTTTTCTGTTGATGGACCTTTAGGCTTTCATTTTTTTATCTATTCTGAAAAGAGCTCCTTTGAGCATTATTGTACATCTCTTTGGATAAACATAAGTATTTATTTTTGTTTGAGCAGAATTGCTGATTCATAAGTATATGCTTTGTTTTAATGGACACTATAAATAATTTTTCCCAAGTGGTTATATCACTCTGTAGTCTCATCATCAGTAGATAAGAATTCCTATTGTTTCATATGCTTGAAATTACTTGGTATTGTTAGCGATTTTGTTTATTTGTTTGTGTAATTTTAGCCATCTTAATGGGTCTGTGAGAGAAAGACAAGACTTTCTATGCCCGTTACAGTCTCAAAAACTCACTGAGGCAGTTCTACCCAATCCTGTAGGTTCTCTATGAACCAGCATCAATTCAATTGCAGTGAGTTGAGTTGAGGGAGGTCTGTAGTACCATTTTCTTATTATGTTCATTGTAACTCATAATGACCCAGTAGAACAAAGTAAAACTGCTTCTTAAGATTTCTAAGACTAAATATTTATGAGAACAGACAGTCTCATCTTTCTCTTGAGGAGCTGTTGGTGGATTTGCACCATCAACCTTACGGTTATCAGCCCAATGCTTAACCCACTGTGTACTAAGATTTTGCTTTAAGTTTTTTAAATTCATTTTGCTTTAAATTTTTTACTCTTTTGAAAGGTTTAAGAAGATATGAAAACATTCCAGAAACCTGGCCTCTTTAATATTTTCTCATTGATATACAAAAATCAATAGATTTTTCTGGATAGTTCAGATATATTTGGGATCTTTGTGTAAGTTTAATGTGGACTCTATTTTAGCAGTAAATTATTTGAAGTGAGGAAAAAAGCATTCAGTTTTATTACAAGTTTGCTGGTGGTAGGGCCAGTTTTTGTTTTATGTGTCAAATGTGGGTCTTTTAACCTCCAAAAAAGAGATCTTTCTTAAAGTATCTCTTTAGCTTTTATTGATTTCATATATTGAGCTTTTCGCCCTGTATCCATTCTTTTTTCCTTTATAACAAAATAAAACTCTTACTAGTAATACAGGAATATTTTGTAACTGTTTCTCTGGGGCTAATTGTCTTTTTAAATGCATGTTTTCTTGTCATGTACACTTCTGACTCATAGCAACCCTATATTCAACAGAAAGAGACACTGTGGTCTGCCCTACACCATCCTTACAATTCTTGCTATGTTTGAGCCCATTGTTTTGCAGCCACTGTGTAAATCCTTAATGGTGATTAAGTGGTAGCATACAGTAAGAGAAACATATTTTCTTGGGGAGATTCATAATCTTATTTTTCATACCAGTTACTTAATCAAAATAAAGTTTCAGTGAAATGCAAAGGAAATCCAGTTAAGACTTCATGTAGCTAAAATGCCTGCTTCAAATAATAGACTTTTTACTTGATTTTGTTGTT